TCTATAACATCTATTGCTTTGAATATATGGGATAAACTATGTTTGAAAATTACTTGGCAAAACTATAAAAATTATATGAATGTTAATTATTTTTACACCTATTCTTAATTGTTATTATGAACCCAAAAGTCAGAACCTAACTTACAGCTGATCCTCCAGCAGGTTTTCAGACTGTAAATCACATAGGAGAAGATTGTCCATCTTTCTTCCACATAGCAGCTAGTGTGGAATTAAACACCAGACATATTTTAGAGTTGGCAGTGCAACTTCTTACCCTTAGGTTATCAGAGCACCCTGCCCCTAATTAGCTCCTTTAATGGTTTTAATAATTTTTTTTATCATTCATAAACTTTACTTGCCACTTAATTTCCCCCCCTTATCTAGTTACCCCAATCCTCATCCCTTTGCTTTTAGGTTTACATTCTCTAGCTCTCTGCAGATCCTTTGAGTTAAAGCCATGCAGTGTTAGTTTCGAGTCTACATATTTCTCTAAGATCATTTACATTATATCTGAACCCAGTGCACCAAGTAATTTAGCCTAAAATGTCATCTGGCATACCCAATTGCCAGGAAGAAGGAATAAGCCTGTTTCTTCTCCTTCTCCTTCTCCTTCTCCTTCTCCTTCTTTTTCTTCTTCTCCTCCTCCTCCTCCTCCACTTCCTCCTCCTCCTCCTCCTTCTTCTTTTTCTCTCTTTTTTTAAACACTTCATTAAAACAAACCATCTATCCTTTCACAAGCCCTTCCCTCATCTTTATCTCTTCAAAGCTTGATTCTGGAGCTCTATACAAGATGAATTGACACAGTGGCAGTGTATCAGAGATAAAGAGGATGGCACAAGATAGAGCAGAGTTCAGATCCATTGTTTATTAGGATCACTGAGTTGTGGTCAACTTGATGGCTCATAACAACAGCAATCCATACTGATATATCTTTTGTAATTATTTCTAAGTCCAAGCCCACATAGGTCCATCTTATTTATATAGCATATATATCTGCTATGGCTGATAACTTGTCTCCAGTAGTTTTTTCTTCTATATCCAAGTATTTAGAAAACTTCTTCAGGGTAGGTAAGCACAGTATTGTATATGACTCTATCACATCATATTTCAGCACTATGGAAGATTATCTGACACATTTACGTTGTTGGTTAGTAGTCTGATTAGAACGTAAAACAATTACCTCTTCTTTAGTTATGGTATTAATAGAGGCCTCGGGTTTTTGAAAGCATAAAACCGTTGTGTCCCTTAAAGAAGAGATGATAGAGCAAGAAGCAAGGACTCAGAGGGATATCCCAAAGAAAATATGTCAACTTTATTATTTTCACCAAAGTCAAACATGCATTTGTTTTTCTTCTAGGAAACTGAATGTTCTTCAAATTGTTTGACTTCTGTATTTCACTACTATTGTTGTTACGTGCTATGGATTCAACTACAACTCATAGCTATCCTGTGAGCAGCAGATTTGAACTTTACCATATCCTGCTCCTAAGTCATCTTTGTTCTATTCTTCTCCTGGTTTCATTATTAAAATATATATTAGTTGCCTGAAATAGGCTTCCAATAGCCCCTAAGTGCTCTCTCTTGTGGCCAAAATAGTCCTGACTTTGGTTCACCCTTGGGGTTACCTGTGTACATTTTTCCCTCCACAAGTCATTCTCAAAGCAGAAAGAAGTAGGATTATCTATATATCAAAATAATTCCAGGAAACTAACGTAGAGGATGAGAGATGTCACTGATTTCTGGGAGTGAAGAGGAAGTATAAGGATTGTTAATATAGTACCAATTACAATTAATGTACTCATAATTTAATATTGTTAATGTAATAATAATTACAGTTAGTGCAATAAGTGTTAATGTAACAAAACAACCTTCATATAAACCATCAAATGAGATTGGCCAAGAGTGAAAGTCCTCTTCCCTCTTTAACTGTGTGATAAAACACAAAAGCAGATAAACTGCTTCTTCTCAAGCAAAGGTGATCATTTGCTTCTGGCTGAAGTTGTAGGGAAGATGGAAAGGCCTTAGTACAATCCACTGCTTAAAAAGATTTTTAATAAAAGCACAGATAAGCCTCTGTTGCTCTTTCTTGAGGCCACAGTTCTTGGCAGCATGTTCCCACACCTTGTCCCTATTAATTAGACAGACACCTGAATCTTATCTGCCGAAGTCAGGGAAAATTCATAGTTTGGTGCCTGAGTGACTTTTATCTTTCCAGATACAGGCTTTCTAAAAAGAAATTACTCTTCTAGAATGAGTTTTAGTCCTAAAATTAAACTTATTTTTCTAAATGACTGATTCCTAACAAGATTTTCTATTGATAACCATGTGTGTGCACGTGTGTGTGTGTGTGTGTGTGTGTTTTAGTCTAATTTTAATATTATCTAGAGAAATACAAATAGGCAGGCATTCTGAGTAAAATAAACTACATGTGTAATTTTATCACTTTATTGTAGCATTACCATAATTAAAGTCCTTTATTGTCACAGAAAAGTGAATACCAATTTTGATGCATAAATGCTTTGCCTTCATACAAAGAAGAAAACTCATAAAGGAGTCTTTTGAATAAAGCAGCATTTTTGCACTTCTTCTGCCTTCTCTATTGCTTTGGCATTTATCCCCCAAACAGAAAGTCCCTTTCCTGTCCTTATATAAAACCCCATAGCAAAAGAAATACTTGTTCTAATGTCATTGTTCTCTGAAAAACACAAATAAATGGAAGACTTATAACTTAAGATTACTCTTTGTTAACCCAGGCATAATTTGGATTAGTACATTCTGGTTTTAAATTATTTTAAATATAGAATTGATTCTAAAAATTTAGCAAAATATTCACCATTGTTTTAATCACATAGTATATTTTATTGTTTGCTAACAAAAAGTAGTTGAAGTCCCCAGTGGCTGGACTAGAGAAATCTATCTTGTCTTCTCCAGCAGGCCCTTGTCAAGGTCACAAATGTATAGACAAACCACTCATTAAATTCTCCAAGTTTTTCTTATATTTTCTCCCTCCCCCAACTTTGGGTTAGAGAAAAGCATAACACATGGAAGCATTTAGGATGGGGTTTTTTTTCCCATTTGTCAAACAATATAATGCTTCACTGATAAAGCTGCTTTTTCCTCCCTCTTAGCTAAACACATAAGTGAATTTTTCACTAGTTACTTTTGAAAAGTCAACCTACAGTAGGATTTTCATAATAGCAGAGGCAAACCTTCAAAAATTATAGTTGGGATAGGTTGTGGAGAGGATAGTGGTCAGGGGAGAGTTATTGCAGTAATGAATACCTCTCTGTAAATTTACCAAAATGAAATCTCGATTCTTCAGAACATTAGAGGCTAGATCTAACTATACTCAATCTCTTGATCCTATCATATGGTTAGAAAGTCAAACTAAGCACCAAGAAAACTTCCCTTTCTGGAACAGCAGAGATTTAACTAGTTTCTCAGCAAGTGAAGCAAAATGAGTAACTTTTGAGGGCGGTGGAGTCTGGACTTCTAGAGTGTTCTACAAATTCAAGTGACAAAATGCTGCCATTTTTCACACTTCCATCCGGAAAAAACTAAACCTTGTACAAGATTCTCAGAGGTGCCTCAGGGGGCCTCATCCCTCCTTGATTTTTCCAGGGAGGGGGCAGAGTTTAAGATCCACTTTTGAAGGGCCCACTGGAAAGTTCTGATAACCTTCATAGTGTCCTGTTAGTCCTGCAGAACAAAGCCAATGCAGCTTTAGCAGCTATTCTTTCACAGAAAAGGATAGTCAGATCAGTTAGCTGGCAAGAGTACACATAAGGTTGTCTTGGGTTGGAATAGAGTCCATTGCAACTTATTTGTTTAGTTTTTCAGTCTACATACAAGGTATAAAGCTACCACCTTTCCATGTTCCACCGGGAGCTCCTCCTAGAACTTCTGCAAGGGCACACCCAGGGCATCTTTCCTCTTTGTTTTATTCTTGAACTTCTGCAAAGCCTATTTTCTACAGGAGCATCTGCGTGTTTGGAAGGAGGTGAGCGTCTGAGTTGAGAACTGAAGAACAAAGATCCCCTGCATGCCCAGTGCCAGCTGGAGGCTCAAACCACACAGCAGAGTGGCCTTTCTCGCGTCCCAACTGTGCAAACAGAGCGCCTCCCACTGTAGATAAGGGGTGACTCCAGCACATGCAGACTGGGCAGCAGCCTATTAATATAGCCAGAGTTTTCTTCCCTGTTTGTAACTGTCCGTTTCTTTGGTGTGTAGGCACTGAGGCAAACCCAAACAAAATCCTCCACATTCCTCCGCACTCTGCCCCACTGCTCTAGCCCTGTACTTACAAGACACCTTCAGGCCACTTGCTTTGAGTTGAAGAAAACAAAGCAAGCAAACAGTTGTGCATAGCTACATAGCCTACACTGAGAAACTTCCCAGGGCATTGGCTGGAGGGAAAAGTTGGCCCTGTATATCCATGCAGGGAAGCCGGGAAAGGAGAGAAAGTCAGGAAGCTTAAAATGAAATTTCCCTCGGCCAGAGGGCGCCGTAAATGGAACAAAGTCCAAATTCTACAAGCGGGTGCAAAGGTAGACGTAGCTGGTGGATGCTGCGATTCTACGAACAGTTTTTTCCGGTTTGGACTTTTTGCCTTAATTGACTGCAATTTAAGCACTGCTCCTCGAGAGATTTTTTTATTTTATTTTATTTTTTTTTTTTTTAGGAGAAGGGAGTGAGTAGAAGAGGGAGGAGGCAACTGCTGGAACCAAAACTGAAGCTGAAGCCAACTTCTGAGCCAACCAACCTTCTCGCTCTGTCCTGTATTCCTGGGCTTCCTTCCCCGCCGCTGGGACCTCTTTGCTCAGAGCTCCCTCCCCTCCCCTTCGCGGGAGGGGGGCCTCTGAAGCGCAGGCAAAGCAGATAGCTAGGGAAGTAAAGAGGAGAGTATCAAGTTACAGCCGTTTGTTTCCAGGACTAGAGAGGAATGCAAAGGGTGTGGCAAGCCCCCAGCTCCCTCCGCAATGGCAATTCCTCCTCCATCATCAGCGGCAGAATTTGCACTTTATAATCTTCTTAAAGGCGTTTTGAAAGTCCTTGTTGAAGTAAGCGTAGATTACAGGATTGAGCAGAGAGTTGGAGTAGCCTAGCCAGTTGATGATGGCTCCCAGCAGGGCTGGCATATGGCAGCTGCTCTCGCAAAAGGGTAGGACCAGGGCTACGATGAAGAAGGGCAGCCAACAGAGGATGAAAGTGCCCATGATGATGCCCAAGGTTTTCACAGTCTTCCTTTCTCGAGCCAAGGCCATCTTGCGCTTGGCTTCAGCGTTGCGCTCGTTCTTCTTCTCGAAGGAAGAGGGCTCACTAGGGCCCACACCAGTCTCGCAGGGCAGGGGTAGGTGCTCCTTGGAGTTGCCCACGCGGTACACCTCGATCACCTCCAGGGCGGCGCCATAGTCACCTTGCCTCACGGCCCCGTTTGCGCACGGAGCACCGCCTGCCTTGCTCTCCGTGCCCCGCCTCCAGTCCCTGTTTCCAGGTTCTCCATTCTCAGTCTTCTTAGGCGGCTGGTTTAAGGAGGCGCCACGGCTGCTGTTGGCTCCCTTCTTTTCCGCCTTCTTAACTGTCTTGCGGATGCGGAAGCGCGCAGCTCGGAAGATGCGCCCATAGAGGACCAACATGAGCAGCAGCGGGATGTAGAAAGCGCCAAAGGTGGAGTAAATAGTGTAGCCGTGGTCCTTGCTGATGGTGCACGCGTCGGGGTCCGAGCGGTCTTCTGGGGTGCGCCAGCCCAGCATGGGCGGAATGGAGATGAGAAAGCCAATGAGCCAAGTGAGAGAGATGAGCGCGGCGGCACGCCGGGGGGTCCTCTTGTTCACATAGTCTATGGGGTCAGTGATGGCCCAGTACCTGTCCAGCGCGATGGCGCACAGGTGCAGGATGGATGAGGTGCAGCAAAGCACATCGAGCGCGATGAACAGGTCACAGGTGACCTGGCCCAGCGTCCACTTGTTAAGCACCTGGTAGAGCGCGGCCATGGGCAGCACCAGCACCGACACCATGAGGTCGGTGATGGCTAGAGAGCCGATAAGATAGTTGGCCACATTTTGCAAGGAGCGCTCCAGGGCAATGGCAGCCACCACGCAGGCATTGCCCAGCACCGCGCAGAAAATGAGCGTGCCGAGCAGTAAGGAGGTAATCACTTGGTAGCTGAAAGTCACGTCGGTTATGTCAGTAGTATTGCTGCCTGCCCCGAAGGGACCCTCAGCCGAGGTGGTGTTATTACCCTGGTCAAGGCTGAGCGCATCCATGCCTACTCTCCGCGCGGGGTCAGTAGGGGGTCGGGGGAAGATCTGCTGGAAGATCCCCCTTGCACCTCCCCCTGGGGTCTTCCTCCCCTCTCCTCTGGGGTGGTTCAGGGGAGGAAGTGCAGGGACCCGGGCAGGAAGTTCTTACTTCTTTGGCAAGGACATCCCCACGGAGCGGCTTCTAGGTGCTGCCTTGGCTGGGTGGTCCCGTGCATTTACAGCCAACAGCTGGGGAATTGGAGCTGGCTGGAGAGCAGCTCCCGGAGCGCTGGGCGGCAGAGAAGTAGCTGTAATGTCTGTCTCTCCCTGTCCATTTTACATTGCAGCTACCCAACTGGCTGCCTAAGGTGAAATCTTCCCACTAACTGTCTCCAACCCCAGAAGTAGCTGGAACACAAACCCCATCCTCCATGGTCACTCAGTAACCCTCCTCTCCCTCTTTTTATCCCGCTGGCTCCTTCACTCTTCTCTTTCAATCTCCTTCCTCCTCTCCCCCGCCTTTTCCCACTAGCCTTCCTTTTCAGTCTCCCTCTCCCTTCTCACTCTCCTTTATCCTTCTGTGTGTAGCTCTGCAGCCAGTCTCCCTCCTTTCCATGCTATCCCTCCCTTCCTCACACTTCCTAAACACTGTCTCCTTCCTCTGACTCCTGTACTCATCCTCTCTGGCTGAGCATTTTGCTTGCAAAACCCCTTCTGTGGATGTAGTCTCAGTTTACTCGGCTTACACCAGGTTTTCTAGTCAGACCGAAATTATAACAAGTTAACTCCGCCTCCCACCCAGCCAAACTCAAGAGGATTTTTTTTAAAACTACCCATTGCCTCAGATTTTGGTCAGATTTTTAGGTCTTGTCAACATCACAGAATAAAAATAACAAATAAATAAAGGAGGCATGGAGAGAATGTGGACAGCCCTGGATCAATATATCAATTATTATTAATTGAAAGGAAATTGTGTTAGTATTTTAAAAAATCACTCTTTTTCATTATGTTGCAGCTAAGCCTAATTCCTTTTAAGGTACAAGTTGTGTATAATCCCCCACTTCGTAATCTTTTGGAATTTGGTAGAGAAAGGAATCACAAAGGACATATGAAAGTAAATAGTTCCATCTCAAAGAAAAGGACAACTCCAATTCAGTATATCATCTATATACACACACACAAACACATACCTGCTACACCTTTGTACCTTTGTCTCACCTACCACCATCCATTCAACTGAAATGAGCACTATCGCACTTCACAGAAGACTACATTCAGATGGCTAACAAGCACATGAAGAAATGCTCAAAATCCCTAGCCCTAA